TGAGGCGGAAGGATCACCAGAGCCCAGCAGGTCGAGGCTGTGGTGGCCGGCAGTGGCCACTGCACTCCAATCTGGGTGACAGAGTGAGACCCCAACTCAAAAAAAAAAAAAAATTCAACAATGTATGATAGACATTACATGTCAAAGTTTATGCTCTATATTTTTCTTTAAGCAGATATATGAAGGCGCACGCTACCATGCCCAGCTCATTTTTTATTTATTGTAGAGATGAGGTCTCGCCAAGTTGCCCAGGTGGGTCTCGAACCCGCAAGTTCAGGCAATTCACTCACCTCAGCCTCCCAAAGTGCTGGGATTACAGGCTGAGCCACTGAGCCCAGCCTAGAATGTTTTCTTTCTTTCTTTTTTTTTTTGAGTTGCAGTCTCATTCTGTCACCCAGACTGGAGTGCAGTGGCCGCTCCCGGCCACCACAGCCTCGACCTGCTAGGCTCTGGCGATCCTTCCGCTTCAGCTTTCCAAGTAGCTGGAATTACAGGTACGCGCTACCACGCCCAGCTCATTTTGATTTATTGTAGAGATGAGGTCTCGCCAAGTTGCCCAGGTGGGTCTCGAACCCGCGGGCTCAGGCAATCCACTCACCTCAGCCTCCCAAAGGCGCGGGATTAAAGGCTGAGCCACTGAGCCCGGCCTAAAATGTTTTCATTAGGCTGTTTCCAGTTTTTCTTTTTTCTTTTTTTCAATTGTAGTTCTCATCCTGTTGCCCAGGCTGGAGTGCAGTGGGATACTCACAGCCACTGCAGCCTCGACCTGCTGGGCTCAGGTGACCCTTCAGCCTCAGTCTTCCAAGTAGCTGAAACTACAGGCATGCGCCACCATGCCTGGCTAATTTTTTGATTTATTGTAGAGATGAGGTCTCACCAAGTTGTCCAGGCTGGTCTTGAACCTGTGAGCTCAGGCAATCCTCTCACTTTGACCTCCCAAAGTGTGTGGATTATAAGTAGTGAGCCACAATGCCTGGTCTCCAGTTTTTCAAATGCTATATTCATATCTACATAGCTATATATTTTTTGTTTTGCTTTTTCTTTCTCTCCTTTTTTGAGTCAGAGTCTCACTCTGTTGCCCAGGCTGCAGTGTAGTGGCCACCTCAGCTTTGATCTGCTGGGCTCAGGAGATCCTTCTGCCTCAGTCTTCTGAGTAGCTAGAACTACAGGCATGCACTACCATGCCCAGCAAATTTTATGATTTATTGTAGAGACAAGATCTTGCCATCTTGCTCAGGCTGGTCTTGAACTCCTGAGCTCAGGCAAACCTCTTGTCTCTGCCTCTCAAATTGCTGGGGTTACAGGTGTGAGTCACCACGCCCAGCAATGTTTTGCATTTTTACTAGGATTGACATAGGACGAACTGCTAGAAACAGAAATGATGGGTCCAAGCATGGTATGTCACAGGTCTATTATTCTCTCTGGACTAACCACTATGCCTTGCTAACTTTAGATTGCCGAGCACCTACCACATGCCTGTCATAAAAGAGAGATGTGTAAAGGTGTTTTGTTTACACTGAACTATTTCCACTTTTGCTTACTCCTTTCTGGTATTTGGGTACATACAGATGTTGTTCACATAGATGGTCTCCTACTGTGCATGCAGTTTTAGATCTTGCTTTCTTCATTTAGGATTCTCTCTTAAATTCTGTCTGTATCACTTCCCACCCTTTGTAACCCTCTTTCATAATGACTACATATCACCCTATTGAATGAATGTGACACAATTTACCATACATGCCCCTGTTAATGGATATTAAAGCTACTCCCAGAATTTTTTTTTTCCTGAGTTGGAGTCTCAACTCTGTTCCCAGGCTGGAGTGCAATGGCATGCTCATGGCCACCGTAGCCTCCATCTGCTGAGCTCAGGAGAGCCTTCTGCCTCAGTCTTCCAAGTAGCCGGAACTACAGGCGCGTGCTACCACACCTGGCTAACTTTTTTGATTTATTGTAGAGATGAGGTCTTGCCAAGTTGCCCTGGCAGGTCTTGAACCTGCGGGATCAGGCAATCCACTCTCCTCGGTCTCCCAAAGTGCTGGGATTATAGGCTGAGCCACTGAGACTGGCCTATTGTATTTTTAAATACATATTGTAGAACTCAATCTGTGTACCTTCATTTGTCTCCTCAGAAAAGATTCCCAGAAGTGGGTCACTGCTCCAAAGTGGATGGTTAATTTTATGCCTCTGAGCATATATGTGCAAGAGTATTTGCTGTGCTGGAAACAGTTCATGTTAGGAGGGTTAGGAGGAGCACAGGACAAAGAATCAGGAGGGTCACTCACTATGGAGCTCTGTGGCCTGGGGCCTTATTTCCTCATCTATATGATAGGGTATTACACTTGGCTTTCTCTAGGCCCCTATCCAATTTGAAGTCTCTATTGTTCTTTTGGCCCAAATTCAATTTCCTTATTTAACTGCACCTATGATCACTGATTTAGATTTACTAGGTGGCAGCCAGGGTCAGGAATTCTCCTATGGTCACCTAATAGTTCAGAATTAAGGACATACAAGGATCAAAGCTGAGATCTTTGGCTTTCTGCTTAGCACTATGTTCTTTTTTTTTTTTGAGTTGGAGTTTCACTCTGTCACCCAGACTGGAGGGCAGTGGCTGCACCTGGCCACCGCAGCTTCGACCTGCTGGGCTCCGGCGATCCTTCAGCCTCAGCCTTCCAAGTGGCCGGAATTACAGGCGTGCGCTACCACGCCCGGCTGATTTTTTTTGATTTATTGTAGAGATGAGGTCTCACCAAGTTGCCCAGGTGGGTCTTGAACCTGCGGGCTCAGGTAATCCACTCACCTCAGCCTCCCAAAGTGCTGGGATTACAGGTGGAGCCACCGAGCCTGGCCAGCATCATGTTCTAACTCATTGAGCTAAATGGCCTGAGTAAAGCAACCAACATCATTTTCATGAAACAGGCAAAAACTATAACTTTATACTCCTGTTCATATTTTGTTCACTGTAAACAATCTCTAAGCTTTCCTTCATAGCAAATCTCAGAAGTTCATGATTAAATACAACTCTTAAAACAAAATGTAAAAGTTAGCTATACTTACATTTATTGGTAATCTGAGCAAGCCGTGCCTTCTCAGAGGAGAATGTCTCATCTAAATCAAACAGCTCCAGAGGAGGGGGTGGTAATTCCCTGAAACTAGGAGGGAAAACCTAAAAGGAAATAAAGTCTTCCATGAAAGAATTTATACAAAGTCTTAACAGTGATGAGACACAAAGGAAATAAGTCAATTCAGCCCTTCCCCTGGAATGAATTACCTAAACTCCCATCACCTTCTCTAATCATCAGACCCATATCAAGCAATACTACTAAGTCCACTGTAAGCAACCAAGTACAACCAGCACTAACTGTACCACTAGAATGACCAGGCTGCCTTGCCAGTGCCAGCAAACTCAGCACAATGACACAAAGCTTAGGGCTTAGGTTTGTGTTGAATACTGATTGTACAATTTGTTTCTTTCTTTTTTTTTTCTTTTGAGGCAGGGTCTCACTCTGACACCCAGACTAGAGTTCAGTGGCACAATCATAGCTCATTGCAGTCTCAAATTCCTGGGTTTAAGCTATCCTCCTACCTCAGTCTCCCAAGTAGCTGGGACTACAGGTATATGCCATCATGCTCAGCTAATTAAAAAAAATTTTTTTTTTTTTTTTTTGTGTTGGAGTCTCACTCTGTCACCCAGACTGGAGTGCACTCAGCAGGTCATGAGCAGCCTCGACCTGCTGGGCTCTGGCGATCCTTCTGCCTCAGCCTTCCAAGTAGCTGGAACTACAGGCGCGCGCAACCACGCCTGGCTAGTCTTTTTTTGATTTATTGTAGAGATGAGGTCTCGCCAAGTTGCCCAGGTGGGTCTCAAATCCGTGGGCTCAGGCAATCCACTCACTCACCTCAGCCTCCCAAGGCACGGGATTACAGGCTGTGCCACCGAGCCCGACTAGTCCACACTCTTGATTCCCCATCGGGAACCACACCACATGCAAGTCAACACAGAATACTATCAGGTGTGGTGTCCGAGCATGCTTACAGGCAGAACACTGCCATTCATTCTGTGAGAAGCACCACAAATGGCACATGGAAGGGTCCACAGTGAGGGCCTAGCTGGTGAGGTAAGAGCAGACAGTAGGGCTATGCAGCAGGGACCCGAAGCATATCTACTCACCGCAGGCTGAAGGGCTGGCAGCGGCGTCTCAAACTGAGGCTGGATAAGCTGGAGTGGTTCATGTTTCACGTTTAGCTGCTCATGAGCCCTGTGTTCACAATAAAACAAAAAAAAAGGCAGGATCAAGATGAGTCACCACAGCAATGCATGTCTAACTGACCACATTGTGGTGTTCTCCATGAAATACAGAAGCTCAGTACTATTTTTTAAAAATAGACAAACTAGCCGGGCTTGGTGGCTCAGCCTGTAATCCCGTGCTTTTGGGAGGCTGAGGTGAGTGGATTGCCTGAGTCCGCGGGTTCGAGACCTGCCTGGGCAGTGAGACGTAATCTCTACAATAAATCAAAAAACCAGCCGGGCGTGGTAGCGCGTGCCTGTAATTCCGGCTACTTGGAAGGCTGAGGCGGAAGGATCGCCGGAGCCCAGCAGGTCGAGTCTGCGGTGGCCGGGAGCGGCCACTGCACTCCAGTCTGGGCGACAGAGTGAGACTCCAACTCAAAAAAAAAAAAAAATGACAAACTATGTTGTTATACCTAATGTGATGATCCTTTCCAGAATCTTCTCTATCGTACATACAGTATTATTCATTGAGAACCGAAAGGAAAAGTTTTTTTCAAGTTTCATATCAGGTTTCTTCTAAAGAGGCTTTTTGTTTTCACCTGACACTGTGACTCTTGTAACTCACTGTTTTCTTTTCTTTTTTTTTTTTGAGTTGGTGTCTCACTCTGTCGCCCAGGCTAGAGTGCAGTGGCACACTCATGGCCACCCCAGCCTTCACCTGCTGGGCTTTGGCGACCTTCCACCTCAGCCTTCCAAGTAGCCCATAACTACAGGCACATGCTATCTATCACGCCCAGCTAATTTTTAAACTTTATTGTAGAGATGAGATCTCGCCAAGTTACCCGGGCTGGTCTTGAACCTACAGGCTCTGGCAATCCACTCGCCTCAGCCTTCCAAAGTGCTGGGATTATAGGATGAGTCACTGAGCCCGGCCCATTGTGTTTTTCTTATTCTTTTTCACCATCAAAAGATTGAAGTCAGATCTAAGGTCTATTTCTGGCAAGTGAACATATCTGTACCATCACTGAATAGCTACTATGTATCAGGCAGGTTTACACACCCAGGAGTACAGCAACAGTAGAAAAAAGAGACCAAGGCAGGCCCTCATGGAATTTACACCATAGGGAAGGAGAGACACATACTTTACGCCAGTAAGATGCCAGGAATTGATAAGAATTAAGAAGAAAAACCAATCGAGAGGGAGGGATAGAGACAAGGAAGGAGCCAGGAGAGTGGCTTGTCAGAGGAGTGTGGAGTAAGGGAGGGAACAAGTCATGCAGTTATCTTTAAAAATGTCCTGAGGCAAGATCAGGGAGAGCAAGGTGTGCAGCATTTTCACAGAATAGTAGGCAGCCAGAGTAGCTACAGCAGAGGGAGAGCGGTGGGAACAAGCTTACAATTAAGTGCTCTTCTTGCCCCTGCTTTAGTTTTCTACTGTGGCTTCCCCTTTGCCTTAATTCTCGCAAACATTCATGTTATTCTTTCGCATTGCACATAATTTTTGGAGGGAGTTGGAGTCTCACTCTGTTGCCCAGGCTGGAGTGCAGTGGCACGCTCATGGCCACTGCAGCCTTGACCTGCTGGGTTCAGGCAATCCTTTCACCTTAGCCTTCCAAGTAGCTGAGACTATAGGCGTGCACCACTACACCAGCTAATTTTTTGATTTATTGTAGAGATGAGGTCTTGCCAAGTTGCCCAGGCTGGTCTTGAGCCCCTGGGCTCAGGCAATCCTCTTGCCTCTGCCTCCCAAAGTGCTGGGATTATAGACATGAGCTATTGCGTCTGGCTGCATTGCAGATCATTTTATTTTTATTTATTTATTTATTTTTATTTTTTGAGTTGGAGTCTCACTCCATCGCCCAGGCTGGAGTGTAGCGGCCGCTCCCGGTCACCGCAGCCTTGACCTGCTGGGCTCTGGTGATCCTTCTGCCTCAGCCTTCCAAGTAGCCGGAATTACAGGCACGTGCTACCACGTCCGGCTGATTTTTTTGATTTATTGTAGAGATGAGGTCTCACCAAGTTGTCCAGGTGCGTCACGAATCTGCGGGCTCAGGCAATTCACTCATCTCGGCCTCCCAAAACGTGGGATTACAGGCTGAGCCACCGAGCCCGGCCTGCAGATCATTTTATAAGATGGCTGAACTCCTCTGGGGAAGAGGTGAATTAAGTATACCTATCCACTTTAAATTTTATGTGTATCTGTGGTCTTTCAAACTTAGGCTTGAAAAGCAAATGCCAGCCGGGCTCGGTGGCTCAGCCTGTAATATCAGCACTTTGGGAGGCTGAGGTGAGTGGATTGCCTGAGTCTGCGGGTTCGAGACCCGCCTGGGCAACTTGATGAGACCTCATCTCTACAATAAAATCAAAAATTAGCTGGGCGTGGTAGCGCATGTCTGTAGTTCCAACTACTTGGAAGGCTGAAGCGGAAGGATCGCCGGAGCCCAGCAGGTCGAGGCTGCAGTGGCCAGGAGCGGCCACTCCACTCCAGTCTGGGTGACAGAGAGAGACTCCAACTCAAAAAAAAAAAAAAGAAAAGCAAATGCCAATGGGTGGACAAAGTTCATGGCAGTTTCTCTGTACAAGTGATTTCAGAAAGATTTGTTGTGACTACTGACACATGATTAGGTGAGCTTAATGCTGTCACCTCCTCTACTATTCCCAGGTGCCTGGGGAGAATTTTTTAGCAATGAGCAGCAGATCCCCACAGAAGGAAGAGAAATAACTTTTACTGACCATCCGCTACATGCTACATATTATGCCTGTCCCTTTGCTAGGTACTTAAATTTATTTAATATTCAAAGCCACCCTGGAAAGTGAGCATAATCTTTTATAGTAGAGGAAACTGAGGTACAGTAACTTTAAGTAGCTTCCTAAGGTCAAATGATTAGGATGGGACAAAGGCAAGCTCATAATTCAGACCTAGCCAATTCCTGCCAACCAGAACCCTAATTAATTCTACCCAGAAAGTGAAAGTTATTATTAGGGGAAGTTTTTTGTTTTTTTTTTTTTGAGTTGGAGTCTCACTCTGTCACCCAGACTGGAGTACAGTGGCCGCTTCCGGTCACCGCAGCCTTGACCTGCTGGGCTCCGGCGATCCTTCCGCCTCAGCCTTCCCAGTAGCCGGAATTACAGGCATGCGCTACCACACCTGGCTGATTTTTTTTTTTGATTTATTGTAGAGATGAGGTCTCGCTGCCCAGTCGGGTCTTGAACCCGCGGGCTCAGGCAATCCACTCACCTCAGCCTCCCAAAGGCGCGGGATTACAGGCTGAGCCACCGAGCCCGGCTTAGCGGAAGTTTTCAGCTAAAGTTCCCACCATCTGTATAGAGTCCTGCTGTTGAGTTCTGGTCTCAGCTATCCCAGTCGTGATTTTATTTCTGTTTTCTGTTCCTAGAGAGAGCTGACTGTGTTAAAGAAAACGCTTGGCTCCATGAAGTCTTCCCTTTCTCCACTCAGCTCAACACTGCCCAAGTTGTTCTCCTACTAGTAGCCAAAACATGCTTGATGGGGTGGGGTTAGGAGGCTGGAGAAACTAATCTTAAAACCAAGGGGAAGAATAAATGCCAAAGCTAAACACAAATCTGTGAGATGGGGCGCTGTATATTCCAGAACACCCTGGCACTGCATTTCACCACCCCATGTTTCAACTCCCAACCCATAAAACATGAACTAGGAGGGCAGGGATATCAAACTGTCTCTGCCTCATACAAACAGGTATCAATAAATACCAGATGGACAAATGAAGTGACTTCAGAGCAACACCCTATAGTTGACACAAATATTTAAAGCTTAATTGAATTTTTACTCAGAAGAGAGACACTGCTTTCAAAAGATGTTACTAAAGCCCAGGCATGGTGGCTCACACCTCTAATCCCAGCACTTTGGGAGGCTGAGGTGAGGGGACTGCCTGAGCTCACGGGTTCGAGACCAGCCTGGGCAACTTGGCAAGACCTCATCTCTACAATAAATCAAGAAAATAAGCCAGGCGTGGCGGCGCATGCCTGTAGTTCCAGCTACTTGGAAGGCTGAGGCAGAAGGATCACCTGAGCCCAGCAGTCTGAGGCTACAGTGGCCGTGAGTATGCCACTGTACTCCAGTCTGAGTGACAGAGTGAGACTCCAACTCAAAAAACAACAACAAAAAAACACAATCACGATAGCAGTTACTATTTGTAATAACACATGGAATTACATAATCCCTAGGTATCTACTTTGCCCCCTCCCCTTTATTCCACTTGGTTAAATCCATGTCTGGTTTACTGCCTACAGCCAAACACCTAAACAAGGTTGGAGAAAACCACTCAACTATGCTGCTTTGTGGAACTTCACACTCTCAGCCACTCAGCAGAGGGCCTTTGATGCTGCCAGGCAATCCTTCTACAGCAATCTTGCCCACTCCCTCTCCTACTCCCAGATCTCCAGTATCTCCTTTGCAATTTTCAGCTGTTGATTTTGCTTCCTACATTATCAGAAAGAGTAAAGCCCTAAGAACCTCATGACCTTCAATCAACACCTTTTCCTAACCACCAGTATTTGCATCCATCTGTCCCATCTGTTGCTGGACAAATGAGCCGTGCTCCTGTCTTTCTCCTTACTCTCTCCTACATTATTCCTTTTTGTCTTTACTGAAACATTCCTACCAGTATAAAAACATCCTGTGACTTATTCCATCTAAAAAAATATCTTTTTTTTTTGGAGTGGGAGTCTTACTCTGTCGTCGAGGTTGGAGTGTAATGGCATACTCACGGTCACCGCAGCCTCAACCCACTGGGCTCAACTGATCCTTCTGCCTCAGCCTTCCATGTAGCTGGAACCACAGGCATGTGCCACTATGCCTGACTAATCTTTTGATTTATTGTAGAGATATGGTCTCACCATGTTTCTCAAGCTGGTCTTAAACCCCTGAGCTCAGGCAATCCTCTTGCCTATGCCTCCCAAAGTGCTGGGATTACAGGCTTGAGCCACTGCCCAGCTAAAAAAATATTTTTTTACCTTACTTCCTCCAACTAATTAAGATCCCCATCCTTGCTCTGTCTCTCTCAGTAGCAAAATACCTCAAAAAAAGCTGTCTATATCTGCTATCACCAATTGTCACATTCTACTAAATCAACTCCAAGCTGAGCTCAGCCTGTAATCCCAGCGCTTTCAGAGGTTGAGGTAGGTAGATTGCCTGAGCCTGAGGGTTTGAGACCCGCCCGGGCAACTTGGCAAGACCTCATCTCTACAATAAACCAAAAAATTAGCTGGGCGCGGTAGCGCGCACCTGTAGTTCCAGCTCCTTGGAAGGCTGAGGCGGAAGGATCGCCGGAGCCTAGCAGGTTGAGGCTGTGGTGGCCAGGAGCCTGGGCGATGGAGTGAGACTCCAACTCAAAAAAAAAAAACCCAAAAAAAACCCCCAAAAATCAACTCCAAACAAACTTTCACTCCCACCACGTCACCAAAAATACTCTGTCAAGACCAATGTCCTCCATGTTGCTAAATCCAATGATAAATCTTCAGCCCTCATTTTGTGTGACTCATCAGCAGCATCTGACACATTTGGTCACTTTTCACCTAGATATACTTTCTTCACCTAGCTATATTTTTTTCACCTAGTTCTCAGGATACCACGCACTTGGTTTTTCTCCTGTCACACTAGCTGCTCTTTTTCCATCTCTTTTTTTTAGTTTTTCTATTTCTTGCTAACTTCTAAACTTCTCAACTCTGGGATGCTCCAGGGCTCAGTAGCTAAACCTTTTTTCTTCTTTGTTAACACTTATACCCTCAGTGAGCTCATCCAGGTACATAACTTTAAAAACTATCTACCATCTTTCATGAAATCTTGAGAATCCACCAAAGGTAAGATGCATCATTATATAAGGTCTGCTGACAAGGAAAAAATGCTGCCAATTAAACTGACACATCATTCATTGCTAAGATTCATTTCAATTTTATAGATATGAAAATGTGCTAGCCGGGTTCTGTGGCTCAGCCTGTAATCCCACGCCTTTGGGAGGCTGAGGTGAGTAGATTGCCTGAGCCTGCAGGTTCGAGACCCGCCTGGGCAACTTGACGAGACCTCATCTTTACAATAAATCAAAAATCAGCCGGGCGTGGTAGCGCATGGCTGTAATTCCGGCTACTCGGAAGGCTGAGGCAGAAGGATCGCCGGAGCCCAGTAGGTTGAGGCTGTGGTGGCCGGGAGCGGCCACTGCACTCCAGTCTGGGTGACAGAGTGAGACCCCAACTCAAAAAAAAAAAAGAAAATGTGCTTATTTTTTTCCATTTTTTTTTTAAGAGATGAAGTCTCACCAAGTTGCCCAGGCTCAGGCAACTCTCTCACCTCCGCCTCCTGAAGTGCTGGGATTACAGGCATGAGCCACCATGCCCAGCAATGTGTGCTTTAGATTTAAAATACAGATATGGCTCAGTCTGTAATCCCAGCACTCTGGGAGACTGTGGTGAGTGGATTGCCTGATCCCGTGGGTTCGAGACCCGCCCGGGAAACTTAGCGAGACCTTGTCTCTACAATAAATCAAAAATTAGCTGGGCGTGGTAGCGCATGCCTATAGTTCCAGCTACTTGGAAGGTTAAAGCAGAAGTATCAGTGGAGCCCAGCAGGTTGAGGCTGTGGTGGCCAGGAGTGTGCTACTGCACTCCAGTCTGGGCAAAAGTGACAATACAATTCAAAAAAATAAAAAATAAATAAGTAAATAAATAAAATACCAACTTGCCCCCAGATTCCCAAATTTAAATCTGTAGCCCAGATACTCTCTGACCAATCAGGCTAACATACATAATTGCTACTCAATATCATCTGGATACTTAATAGACATCTCAACTCAATATGACACAAACTGAACTTCTGCTCTTCCTGCAAAATCTACTACCAGTCTTTCCCAACTCAGATATTTATTTATGAGTTGGAGTTTCACTCTGTCGCCCAGGCTGGAGTGCAGTGGCATGCTCACAGCCACAACAGTCTTGACCTGCTGGGCTCTGGTGATTCTTGCAACTCAGCCTTCTAAATAGCTAAAATTATAGGTGTGCAGTACCATGCCTGGATAATTTTTTAATTTATTATAGAGACGAGGTCTTGTTGAGTTGCCCAGGCTGGTCTCGAACCCGTGGGTTCAGGCAATCCTCTCACCTCGGCCTCCCAAAGTGTTGGGATTATAGGCTTGAGCTACCATACCTGGCTGTTTTTTTTTTTTTTTTTTGAGTTGGAGTCTCACTCTGTTGCCTAGGCTGGAGTGCAGTGCAGTAGCACGCTCATAGTCCACCGCAGCCTTGACCTGGGTTCAGGCGATCCTTCTGACTCAGTTTTCTTTTTGTTTTTTGAGTTAAAGTCTCACTCTATCCCCCAGGCCGGAGTGCAGTGGCACTCTCATGGCCATCGCAGCCTCAACCCGCTGGGCTCAGGCGATCCTTCCACCTCAGCCTTCCAAATTGCTAGAACCACAGGCACACGCCTCCATGCCCAGTTAATTTTTTTTTTGAGTTGGAGTCTCACTCTGTTGCCCAGATTGGAGTGCAGTGGCCGCTCCGGGCCACCGCACCCTTGACCTGCTGGGCTCCGGTGATCCTTCCGCCTCAGCCTTCCAAGTAGCTGGAACTACAGGCGCGCACTACCACACCCGGTTAATTTTTTGATGTACTGTAGAGACGAGGTCATGCCATGTGACCCAGGCTGGTCTCAAACCTGTGGGCTCAGGCAATCTACCAATCTTGGCATGCCAAAGTACTGAGATTACAGGCTTGAGCCAGCGCGCCCAGCCGTGCCTCAGTTTTCCAAGTAGCTGGTACTACATGTCCTTACCACCATGCCCAGCTTATTTTGTGATTTACTGTAGAGAAGAGGTCTCACCAAGTTGCCCAGGCTGGTCTTGAAACCCTGCGCTCAGGCAATCCTTTTCGCCTTAGCCTCCCAAAGTGCTGGGATTACAAGCTTGAGCCACGGCGCCCAGCCATACTCTCTCTGGATTCTTTTTTTTTTTTGGACTTGGAGTCTCACTCTGCCACCACAGCCTCGAGCTGCTGGGCTCCAATGATCCTTCCGCCTCTGCCTTTCAAGTAGTTGGAACTACAGGCGTGCACTAGCACGCCTGGCTCATTTTTGATTTATTGTAGAGATGAGTTCTCGCCAAGTTGCCCAAGCGGGTCTCGAACCCGCGGGCTCAGGCAATCCACTCACCTCAGCCTCCCAAGGTGCAGGATTACAGGCTGAGCCACCGAGTCCAGCTTCTTTTTTTTTTTAAATAAAGACAGGAAAGATACATTGTGAAGGGTACAATGGGCAGGACAACAGCAAGACTGTCCACTGTCTGCTGCCACTCTCCCTGGATTTTTAGTGCCAGCTAACAGCATTATCATTCCCAGATCCCCATGGAGAAATGGAAGTGATCAGCCATCTGGATTACTGAGGGGATTCTTGGGACTTGAGACTCTGTGCTAAAACCAGGAAAATCCCAGGCAAATCAAAACAAACTGATCATCCTAAATGCCTGGTCCAGAGCCTGGAGCATACTGGGGCTAACAGCTGCTGGCAGTTCTTCTGCATCAGCCCCACATCCCCACTCCAATTTCTTTGTTGACCTTATCACAAATCTAATAACATGTTTTGCATGCCACGTTTGCCAAGATCCTAACTCACATTCCCAGGCTCATGTTTTCAAACCAAACACTCAGAATGGAGTGCCGTGCAACTCAGAGAAACACAGGTACTGACTTGATGACCTTGGGGAGGGAGGTGGTATCCAGTTGGTAAATGGACAGGCCAAAGAGGGTGGTAAAGTCCCTCGTGTGCTCATCACCCTCCTGGAGACATGCTCGAAACCGCTCTGACAGGGTGGCTGTGTCAGGCAGCATCATGTAGTCAGCAATCTGAAAGCCACAAGAGGGTTCCTTTCAGCAAAGCAGGAGCAAGCATTTATTCTGTCAAGTCTCCACTGCCTCAGGTCTAAATCTGCAACATTTACATTCTCTTGACAAGAGATTTCACCATTTACGATCACTAAGCCTATAGGTACTTTATGTGGCAAGAGGCGCAAAACTCACTTGAATAAACTCCAACCAGTGTGAATCCAACTCTTCAATTACACCAGAGCACACATGGCTGAATTCTGTTACCCAGGCTGGAGTGCAGTGGCATGCTCACGGTCACCGCAGCTTCAACCTGCTGAGCTCAGGCAATCCTTCCACCTCAGCCTTTAAAGTAGCTGGAGCCACAGGCGAGCGCAACCATGTCAATCTAATTTTTTGATTTATTGCAGAGATGAGGTCTCACCAAGTTGCCCAGGCTGGTCTGGAACCCCAGAGCTCAGGCAACCTCTTGCCTCCACCCCAGAGCTCTGGCAATCCTCTCGCCTTTGCCTCCAAAAGTGCTGGAATTACAGGTGTGCCCAGCTTCCAATGGCTTTTTATTGATGCTTCCCTTCTGAACTAGTCCAGTATCATGTGTGGCTAGCAGTGAACAAGAGTAGTAGAAAAGGTGTAGGCTCTAGCTGGTTATGGTAGCTTACACCTGATCCCAGCACTGTGAGGCAGAGGCGAGAGGATTCCCTGAACCCAGGGCTTCGAGACCAGCCTGGGTAACCTGACGAGACTTCATCTTAACATAAATAAAAAAAATAAGCCAGGCGTGGTGGTAGGTACCTGTGGTTCTAGTTACTTGGAGGATGATGCAGAAGAATTGCCTGAACCCAGCAAAAGGCTGTGGTGGCCATGAGCATGTCACTACACACCAGCTTGGGCGACAGAGAGAGACTCTTGACTCAAAAAAAAAAAAAAAAAAAAAAAAAAAGAAGCTGGGCTCGGTGGCTCAGTCTGTAATCCCGCGCCTTTGGGAGGCTGAGGTGAGTGGATTGCCTGAGCCCGCAGGTTCGAGACCCGCCTGGGCAACTTGGCGAGACCTCATCTCTACAATAAACCAAAAATCAGCCGGGCATGGTAGCGCGCGCCTGTAGTTCCAGCTACTTGGAAGGCTGAGGCAGAAGGATCGCCAGAGCCCAGCAGGTGGAGACTGCAGTGGCTGGGAGCGGCCACTGCACTCCAGTCTGGGTGACAGAGTGAGACTCCAACTCAAAAAAAAAAAAGAAAAAAGAAAAAAAAAGAAAAAAAAGAAAAGGTGTAGGCTCCAGAATCAGCATGACCTGGTGTTAATAATGGCTTGGCCTGGTATTAATCTAAGCATAGACCCTAAATAATTTACTTCGGTTTCCTCAGCTAGAAAACAAGAATGGGCTAGCGTGGTGGTGGCTCACGCTTATAATCCCAGCACTTTGGGAGGCTGAGGTAACTAGATTGCCTGAAACTGCTGGCTCAAAACCAGCCTGGACAACTTGGCGAGACCTCATCTCTACAGTAAATAAAATACTAGGCTGGGCTCGGTGGCTCAGCCTGTAATCCCGTGCCTTGGGAGGCCGAGGTGAGTGAAATGCCTGAGTTTGCAGGTTCGAGACCCACCTGAGGAACTTGGCGAGACCTCATCTCTACAATAAATCAAAAAATTAGCTGGATGTGGTAGTGCGCGCCTTTAGTTCCAGCTACTTGGAAGGCTGAGGTGGAAGGATTGCTGGAGCCCAGCAGGTCGAGGTTGCGGTGGCCGGGAGCGGTGAGTGCACTTTCAGTCTGGGCGACGGAGTGAGACTCCAGCTCAAAAAAATAAAAAAAACAAAAAAAAACTAAGCCAGGCTTGGTGGTATATACCTATAGCTCCAGCTACTTGGAAGGCTCGGGCAGAAGGAACACCTGAGCCCAGCACTTTGAGGCTATGGTGGCCATGAGAATGCTACTGCACTCCAGCCTGGGCAACAGAATAAAAACAAAAAACTAAAAAAAAACAAAAAAACTAAAATGTAGGTCTCACAATCATCCTGTGAGACAGAGAACACAGGTATTAGCATCCTCACTTCAAAAATGAGAAAACTAGGATGAAAAGTCAGAAATAACGTGCTTATGGTCCAAGGGCCAGTGGTATCGCCAGACCTAGAATGGAGGTTACTGGTTCCTATTCCAGTGCTGGTTTTACCACTCTCCCTTTTTGATAAATATTTTCATAATGCCTTTGGAACTGTTATTTCTTTCTTTTTTTTTTTGAGTTGGAGTCTCACTCTGTCGCCCATACTGGAGTGCAGTAGCTGCTCTCGGCCACTGCAGCTTCGACCTGCTGGGCTCTGGCGATCCTTCTGCCTCAGCCTTCCGAGTAGCCGGAATTACAGGCACGCGCTACCACGCCCGGCTGATTTTTTATTTATTGTAGAGATGAGGTCTTGCCAAGTTGCCCAGGCGGGTCTCGAACCCGCGGCTCAGGCAATCCACTCACCTCAGCCTCCCAAGGCGCGGGATTACAGGCTGAGCCACAGAGTCCAGCTTGGAACTGTTATTTCTAAATGCAACAAAATTATAAGTTTACTACTTAAATTTTCATGATCTTTGTTTTTTCATGAAAAACTTATTTGTATATCGCTTATATTTCTGAAAGAAGTATTTCGCTGCAGATACTCATTTTGAAAGTTCAGGCCAGAGAGAATATATATATATTTTTTTAGTGGGAGTCTCATTCTGTCACCCAGACTGGAGTGCAGTGGCATGTTCACGGCCACCGCAGCTTCAACCTGCTGGGTTCCGGTGATCCCTCTGCCCAGCCTTCCAGGTAGCTAAAACTACAGGCATGTGCCACCACACCTGGCTGGAGAGGATATTTTAAATTCCAATTTTATATAACATACAGCCTCCCATCCCAATAATTCTATGATTAATTATATATTTTATTTATTGTCTTATTTTTACAACATGAACTTCATCTCCCCTCCCCCTAAAGCATACCTTCCTTCTATCTGTCTTAGGTAAGAAAAGCATGTATTCCTTTTGAATTGTTAGGCATGATACTGAGAAGTTGAACCTATTTTTCGGTATTTTTCATTTAAAAGTTTTTTTTAATGATTCACAACCTCCTACCTCTGGGTCCTCAGCATCAATCTGGTTTAGGTGGATGTCTCCTGATGTGAGCCACTGGAAAACCACATCCTGAATTTAAAAAAAAATCAAAATTAGACAGTTAATTATTTGAGAAAGGTAAAGGTCAGGACTAGAATTAAATCAAGAAAAATGATAAAGGGAAAAAGACTACACTGATGATTGGAAAAGGGTACCTAGCCTTCTCTGGTGCAATCATATGAAAATGTAAAGATTTTCTTCACCCTAAAGCAACTTTTATTATCAGAAAGTTATAATTTATCTTAGGGCACTCCAAAATCTATCTATAAGCTAAAATGTATTAAAACTTGTTAACAATCTCAAAGTAATCCCTGTTTACTGTGATGACAGTCTAAACTTATAAGTAAAACTGTAGCCAGGTGTGGTGGCTCACGCCTATAAAATCCCAGCACTTTGGGAGGCTGAGGTGAGAGGATTGCCTGAGTCCATGGTTTGAGACCAGCCTGGGAAACTTGGCAAGACCCTCATCTCTACAATAAATCAAGAAAAATTAGCCGGACGTGGTGGCATATGCCTATAGTTCTAGCTACTTGGAAGGCTGAGTCGGAAGGATCGCCTGCGCCCAGTAGGTCGAAGCTGCGGTGGCCATGAGCATGGGCGACAGAGTGAGACTCCTACTCAAAAAAAAAAAAAAAGGTGAAACTGTAAAATAGTAGACTATAGAGCTCTCCCAAAATGTGTCTAGAGACACTGAATCTTCATTTGGATTCCATAGATCTTAATCAATCTCCCATCTTAACAATTATAAGGCAGGCTGGGTGTGGTGGCTCAAGACCGTAATCCCAGAAATTTGATAGGCTGAGGCGAGAGAATTGCCTGAGCCCAGGGTTGGTTCAAGACCAGCCTGGGCAACTTGGCAAGATGTCATCTCTACAAAAAATAAAAAAATCAGCCGGGTGTGATAGTGCACGCCTGTAGTTCCAGTTACTTGGAAGGCTGAGGCAGAAGGATTGCTTGAGCCCAGCAGGTCAAGGCTACGGTGGCCGTGAGTGTTCCACTGCACAGAGTGGACGACAGAGTGAGATGTCAACTTAAATAAATAAATAAATAAATAAAGCTATTATAAGGCTGAAGGAATTTATTAAATAAAGCTAATATAAGACTGAAGGAATTTATTTCATTAATGAAAAAGCAGGAGCTTCTTCCCCTGGTAAGCAAGTCACACCAAGGAACTTCTGGCACACCCTATAAAGATGCTTGCTTCCCCACTCTGTCGTCCTTCATAAGACATGTTCCCATTGCACTACTCTGACACAGTAGTTGTCAATGCCCTTATGTCATTTGTCACCTCAGTCAGTGACCAGTCCTGTGAAGAACCTTTTCTAACTACCATTCATGTCATCAGTCCTTCCTCTCCTTTAACACCTTCACTCCATTGAAGCAGGTCGTCCTCTTTTCTAGCCTGGTTGACTCCACTAGCCTCCTAACTGGCTCTAGGCTGCTTCCGCCTTGCCACTTTCTATTCAACTGACAGCTGACTAGGCCCAAGGCTGAAGACAAGGGATCCCCATGGCTTGTTCCTCACCCTCCTCCAGGGCTAGCTCCTACTCCACCTTGGCATGCTTAGAAATGACCTTCTAGTGTTACTAATTTGTCTCTCACTCTCTTTTTTTTTTTTTTTTTTTTTTTTGAGTAGGAGTCTCACTCTCTCTCCCAGGCTGGGAGCAGTGGGCTCAGGTGATCCATCCGCTTCAGCCTTCCACGTAGTTGGAACCACAGAAATGCACTGCCATGCTCGGCCAATTTTTTTGAGTTGGAGTCTCTGTCAGCCAGGCTGGATTGCAGTGGCACACTCACCATTGGTCAACCTGCTGGGCTCAGGTGATCCTTCCACCTCAGCCTTCCAAGTAGCCAGAACTACAAGCATGCGCTACCATGCCCAGCTAATTTTTTGATTTATTGTAGAGACAAGGTCTCACCAAGTTGCCCAGGCTGGTCTCGAATCCATGGCTCAGGCAATCTACTCAACTCAGTCTCAAAAAGTGCTTGGATTACAGGCTGAGCCACCGAGCCTGGTTTAATTTTTTTTATTATTTATTGTAGAAATGAGGTCTCACCAAGTTGCCCAGTCTGGTTTCGAATCTCTGGGCTCAGGCAATTCTCTCGCCTCTGTCACCCAAAGTGCTGGGATTACAGGTGTAAGTTACTGCACCCACTGTCTCTTACTGTCTCTCAATGTACTATGTACTTTTTCAAAGCAGAAACTATGCTTGTCTCAACTTTGTATTCTTAGTGCCTGGCACACAATGGGTTCTAAATAACTGTCTTTAAATGAGTAAATGAACTTATCAGTATTTTTAAAAATGATATGAAAATCATACTTACACATTATACTTTAATGTGATGAAAGAAAAAGCTTACCATGATCTTGCTGTTTTCTTCTTTATCCAAATATTGGTCACTGAACATGTGACACGAACCAAGTACTGCCAGCTTGCCACCTTGGTTCTATTGATGACAAATCAGTGTCAGATACTCAGAAATCAAAATGTACTGCATGTATCTTAGTCCTCAAACACATCATCACAATCATGCTAGCAACTGTCTTATAGACTATTAAAGGATTTACATCAGGATTTCAACAGTCTAGAATATGAAGGGTATTTTAACTTGCCTCTCATTTTAGAGACTTCTACATTTTTCTATTTGACTTTCATCCCTCCCTACATTTTTTTTTTTTTTGAGTTGGAGTCTCACTCTGTCACCCAGACTCAGTGCAGTGGCTGCTCCCAGCCACCCTAGCCTTGACCTGCTGGGCTCTGGCAATCCTTCCGCCTCAGCCTTCCAGTAGCTGGAACTACAGGCGCGCACTACCACGCCTGGCTAATTTCTTGATTTATTGTAGAGATGAAGTCTTGTCAAGTTGCCCAGGCGGGTCTCAAACCCGAGGGCTCAAGCAATCCACTCACTTCAGCCTCCCAAAGGCGCGGGACTACAGGCTGAGCCACTGAGCCCAGTTGTCCTCCCTACATTTTTCTATTTGACTTTACTTCTTCTCTCTCTCCTTCCTTTCTTCCTTCCAAGTTGGAGTCTCACTCTGTCGCCTAGGCTGGAGTGCAGTAGCATGTTCACGGCCATGGCAGCCTCACCTGCTGGGCTCAGGTGATCCTTCCACCTCAGCCTTCCAAGTACCTGGAACCACAGGTGCACGCAACCACACCTGGATAATTTTTTTGATTTACTGTAGAGACGAGATCTTGCCAAGTTGCCCAGATTGGTCTTGAACCCCTGGGCTCAGGCAATCCTCTTGTCTCCACCTCCCAAAGTGCTGGGATTATAGATGTGAGCTACTGCACCTCGATTTCTATTTGACTTTAATAAAAGGTAGTATCAATTGGATTTGTATTTTCCATTGTTGGTTATCTTATAAATGAAGACCAGAATTTTAAAGGAAAAAAGATAAACTCAAAGACAATCTGTATAGTTAAAGGCACTGATGAGTACCAAAAAAAGATGTTTAAGATCCAGAGGCAGCGGGCTTGGTGGTTCAGCCTGTAATTCTAGCACTTTGGGAGGCTGAGGTAAGTGGACTGCCTGAGCCCACAGGTTCGAGATCCGCCTGGGCAACTTGGTGAGACCTCATCTCTACAATAAAATCAAAAATTAGCTGGGTGTGGTAGCGTGTGCCACCACGCCCGGCTAATTTTTAATTTATTGTAGAGATGAGGTCTGACCAAGTTGCCCAGGCGGGTCTCGAACCCACAGGCTCAGGCAATCCACTCACCTCGGCCTCCCAAGGCACGGGATTACAGGCTGAGCCACGGAGCCCGGTGGTTTTAAAAATTTTTTTAAATTTAATTTAACTTTTTTGTAGAGACAGGGTCTTACTGTGTTGCCCAGGCTGGTCTTGAACTCCTGTCCTTGAGGAATCCCTCCACCTTAACCTCCCACAGTACTGGGATTACAGAAATGAGCCACTGTGACCAGTCTATTTTCTTTTCTTTAATATTATTTTCTTTTTCTTACCTCATTTATTTCAAATAGGTTATAAACCTTCCTTTAATCCTTTATTCTGTCCTGACAGATTCTACCACTGTCTTCAGCTTCCTTTTCCAGAATTTGTCTGTAATTTGTTCCAGTTAAATAAGAATGTGGGGGCCTGGGCTCGGTGGCTCAGCCAGTAATCCCAGCACTTTGGGAGGCCGAGGTGAGTGGACTGCCTGAGCCCGCGGGTTCGAGACCTGCCTGGGCAACTTGGCGAAACCTCATCTCTACAATAAATTAAAAAATCAGCCGGGCGTGGTAGCGCGCGCCTGTAGTTCCAGCTACTTGCAAGGCTGAGGCGGAAGGATCGCCGGAGCCCAGCAGGTCGAGGCTGCGGTGGCCGGGAGCGGCCACTGCACTCCATTCTGGGTGACAGAGTGAGACTCCAACTCAAAAAAAAAAAAAAAAAAAAAAAAGAATGTGACTAATTTTCTTCTTCAATATTAACAAGACTATTCTAGTAAACCAAAGATCTAAAAAAGACCATGAAAAGCTCAAAGGCAGCAATGGTCCTGGGCAAAAAGGTGGAACCCTCCAGCGCTTGCCTGGGCCTGCTTAGGTTTCCAGGAGAATGGAGAGAAATCTCTTCATTACATAAACTTAAGGGTAACAGGCAACAATCTCTCTCTCAACATTATGCTTATCAAGCAGGACGAAGGCCCACAAGGAGACAACGAGCTATAAAGGGCTAGGTAATGGGCAGATGAAAATCTCATGAGTTCTACGAGAGTCGCAACACTTAGCACAGAATTCTACTCCCAACAGATGCTCCATAAAAATCCACTGATGAAGCCAGATAAAATCTCTGTGCACGCATAAGAGATCAAATAATCATAGTCATAATATTAAACTATCTGAAGACCCTTAAAATAGTGCCTCATTTACTTCTGTGTCTAGCAACTGACAGTTTATATAAACTATCTCCACAACTTAAAAAATAATACTTTAATTTTAAAACAATATTTATAGCTATTTGGAAGAGGCTAACTACCATAATAGCTATATAAATTTGTTTAAATCTTTCAAACACAGTACAGACATTTATTTCCTAAAAAAAACGAGGTCAGAGCTTTTAAATAAGGGGAGAAAGGAAGTATTTAATTTCCACAAAGAATAGGATTGTGAAGAGCTAGCGACATCTAGGTCCCTGGGGGGGTGGTGGTGGGAGCAACCAAAAAACTAGAAGGCTGGCTGGTGAATTCTATGTTAGTTAACAGATGAAGGTAAGGTCAGCAACACATGAACTGAAACACAGTGAGAAAGTGGGGTCATAAGGAAGAGGGCTGTGTCCTCTGAAACTACATGTCCCCACATTTCTGAGAGGTTGCCAGGACAAGAAATGGGCAACTTAGTCTTCAACTAAAATAACAGCACATAATTCTGTACAATTTTGTGTCACTTGGTAACTCCATCTGTTCTTGAATGGATTTTCTTTAGACTGTGGGTGAAAGCCCGTAGTCACGGACGGGATGAAAAGTTAAGAGTTATAATACAGGTAGACTCTTTGTTTTTTTTTGTTTGTTTGTTTGTTTCTGAGTTGGAGTCTCACTCTGTCACCCAGACTGGAGTGTAGTGGCACACTCCCGGCCAACGCAGCCTCAACCTGCTGGGCTCCGGCAATCCTTCCGCCTCGGCCTTCCAGGTAGCTGGAACTACAGACGCGCGCTTCCGTGCCCGGCTAATTTTTGATTTATTGTAGAGATGAGGTCTCACCAAGTTGCCCAGGTGGATCTCAAACCCGCGGGCTCAGGCAATCCACTCACCTCAGCCTCCCAAAGCGCTGGGATTACAGGCTAAGCCACCAAGCCCGGCCTACAGGTAGACTCTTTGAACTGTGGAAAAGTTTTGGGTTTGGAATACTAAGACCTAGGTTTAGGCCTTGACTCCATCAATTACTAGGCAATCCACTGTCTCCCCATAAGTGAAATGTAGATAACAGAAATACTACTTTGCACTACTGACATAAAGACCAATGGGAAAACATATGAAAGCTTTATTTCAACAAAACAAATAACATCTAAACCCAAATCTAAGAAAAGCTGTACCTTTGAGTGATAGAAAGCCAGAATGGGTCTGTTAAGAGGGAAGCAGACAAAGCCTGTAGACAGAACAGCCACTGCTGGTTTCATGACACTCAACGTGGCACCAAAAGGATAGACAAAGGTGAGAGCCCTGTAAGAAATTAAAGAAACACATTCACATTTTTATAAATGAATACAAAATTCTGAAAATAACCTGCATTTGAGCAACACTCTTTGAGTCACTATCAAACACAAAATTTCTTCTAAGCTTTCATTTGTTAATTAAAAATCAGGACAACTCTAGTCACAAGTTCAGTAACACATTTTAACAAACATAAAGATTAAGTTAAGAGAAAAGTGTAAATGATTATAACTGGGAGAAATGAAGTCTTCCCTAATGGAGAGGAGAAGAAGATAGAGCTTCATCTAAGGACTAAACCAGAGCTATACATGAGCTTGAGCTACATAACCATATTTTAGAGGTAAATATTTTCTTCCCTAGGTTGGCTGGTACTGTCTCTACAAATTAATGTTGGCCAGGCATGGTAGCTCATACCTACAACCCCAGCACATTGGGAGACCAAGGTGAGAGGACTGCCTGAGCTCATGTGTTCAAGACCAGCCTGGGCAACTTGGTGAGACCTCGTTTCTACAATAAATCAAGAAAAATTAGCTGGGCATGGTAGCACATGCCTATAGTTCCAGCTACTTGGAAGACTGAGGCAGGAGGATCTCCTGAGCCCAGCAGGTCAAGGCTACAGAAGTCATGAGAGTGCCACTGCACTCCAGCCTAGGCAAGAGTGAGACTAAGACTTAAAAAATAAAAGAATTAATGTCTGTTACTAGAAGAGCATGTGACTAGTTGGATGCTTACATGAACAGGTGCATATATGCACGCTACATTGGACTTGTCTACAGGCTTGTCTTGGAGCTCCTCTTCTGCTCTCCACTGCCCTAATGAAGACTCAAGAGACCTAGAGTGAATCAGTCCAACTTGGGGCACTGTACTTTGGAGAAGATGTGAGATGGGGCTAGGAGTGGAGGAAAGATCCTGGGATGAGGTCAACCCCTATAGGAAGGGTTGTATTAGGGTTTTACTGAAAGATGGCGATCTGCAAGGATAGCTGTTTGAAGGAGGTGCTCTCAGAATGATAAGAAACAGGTCAGGTGTGATGGCTCACGTTTGTAATCCTAGCAAATGGGGGGTCAAGGTGGGAGGAATGTTTGAGCCTAGGAGTTAGCAACCAGCCTGGACAACATAGTGAGACCTTGTCTCTACAAAACAAACAAACAAACAAAAAAGCCAGGTGTGGTGGCTCACACCTATTATCCCAACAGTTTGGGAGGTCAAGGTGTGAAGATTGCCTGAGTCCATGGGTTCAAGAGCAGTCTGGGCAACTTAGTGAGACCTCATCTCTACAATGAATAATAAAAATTAGCTGGGCATGGTGGCACATGCCTGTAGTTCCAGCTACTTGGAAGGCTGAGGTGGAAGGATCACCTGAGCCCAGCAGGTCGAGGCTGCAGTGGCCAGGAGCATGCCACTGCCCTCCAGCCTGGATGACAGAGTAAGACTCCAACTCAAAAAAAAAAAAAAGTCAGGTGTAGTGGCAAGCACCTGAAGTACCAGTTACTCAAGATGCTGAAGCAGGATTGCCTGAGCCCAGGAAGTGGAGGCTGTGGTAAGCTGTGATCATGCCACTGCACTCCAGCATGGGCAACAGAGTGAGACTCCATCTCAAAAAATAAATGAATAAGCCGGGCTCGATGGCTCAGTCTGTAATCCCGCGCTTTGGGAGGCTGAGGTGAGCGGAATGCCTGAGTCCGCGGGTTCGAGACCTGCCTGGGCAACTTGGCGAGACCTCATCTCTACAATAAATCAAAAAAATCAGCCGGGCGTGGTAGCATGTGCCTGTAATTCTGGCTACTCGGAAGGCTGAGGCGGAAGGATTGCTGGAGCCTAGCAGGTCGAGGCTATGGTGGCCAGGAGCGGCCACTGCACTGCAGTCTGGGCGACAGAGTGAGACTCCAACTCAAAAAATAAAAATAAAAATAAATGAATAAAATTTAAAACCTGGCCAGGCTTGGTGGCTCAGCCTGTAATCCCAACACTTTGGGAGGCCGAGGCAAGTGGATTGCCTGAACCTATGGGTCCCAGACCAGCCCGGACAACTTGGTGAGACCTTGTCTCTACAATAAATCAAAAATTAGCCGGGCATGGTAGTGCACGCCTGTAGTTCCGGCTAAGTGGAAGGCTGAGGAGGAAGGATTGCCAGAACCCAGCAGGTCGCTGCTGAGGTGGCTACAAGTGTGTCACTGCACTCCAGCCTGGGCAACAGAGTGAGACTTCAACTCAAAATATATATATACACACACACACACACATATATAAAATAAATAAATAAATAAATAATATATATATATATATATATATATATAAAAGAACGGAGAGAAAAGACTAGAGCATAAGTTGGAAACTTGGTGAGGTGGGGGCATGGGTGAAGTTCCTGCAAGTTCTCCACAGAGATTTTAATTTCCCTTTCCCTTTAAGACCATGAGGAAATTATTTTTAGCTTAAGTTTACAATTATTTCCCTTCAGTGTTCGTTTTCCCCATCCCTCTGTCAAGTCTCATTTACCTGTGACTTTTGTGATCATACTACTGGAGAGAAGTGATACCTGGACCACATTCTCTGTTCCCCCCCTTCCATGCCTACCCATCAGTATCTCAGCAAGGTGGACTGCCGTCCATGAATTCCAGGCCAGAAGTAGAAGAGAATGAGCACCTGCCCATGGAGGAAGAAAAGGGAAGTGGGAGAAATAGTCATATGGATGTCAAAGCACATCACTCTCCCATATTTTCCCCAAATGCACTCAAGGATTTTTTTTTTTTTTTTGAGTTGGAGTTTCACTGTTGCCTAGGCTAGAGGGCAATGGCACGCCATGGCCACCGTAGCCTGTACCTGCTGGGCTCAGGTGATCCTTCCACCTCAGTCTTCCAAGTAGCTGGAACTACAAATGTGCACTACCACGCTTGGCTAGTTTTTTTATTTATTGTCGAGACGAGATCTTGCCAAGTTGTCTAAGCTGGTCTGGGATCTCTAGGCTCAGGCAGTCCTCTCACCTCCACCTCCCAAAGTGCTGGGATTACAGGCTTGAGCCACTGCGCCTGGTCAAAGAAGATGATTCTCAAGGCAGAAGGGAAAATGGACAGTTGAGCGATATGATAAAAACTATCAGCTATTATTTATACTTCTCTATTTCTTTTATTACTATTAATAAATCAGCTGGGCTTGGTGGCTCAGCCTGTAATCCCATCACTTTGGGAGGCTGAGGCTAGTGGATTATCTGAGTCCGCAGGTTCGAGACCAACCTGGGCAACTTGGCAAGATCCTGTCTCTACAATAAAAATAAAAAAAGTTAGCCAGGCGTGGTACTGCACGCTTGTAGTTCCGGCTACTTGGAAGGCTGAGGCAGAAGGATCATTGGAGCCCAGCAGGTTGACGCTGGGGTGGTTGTGAGTGTGCCACTGCACCCCAGCCTGGGTGATGGAGTGAGACTATGACTAAAAATAAATAAAATCAATCATTCAATCAACGAGACTGTCATTTTGATAAGACTTTTAAATTTTTTATCTTACGTTTTCTTTAGAAATGGGGTCTTACTCTGTTGCCCAAGCTAGATTGCAAAGGTGTAAACATAGCTCACTGCAGCTGCCAATTCCTGGGCTCAAGCAATCCTTCTGCCTCAGCCTCTCGAGTAGCAGGGACTACAGGTGCACATCACCATGCCCAGGTAAGACTTTAAGTATAAGACTTAAACACTCATCCCCAAGACAGAACTTTCCAAATCACATGTGAATGGATAAGATTAGTTGGGTGAAACATTTGGGAAAGAACATTCTTAGAAAAGGAACAGCTATATAAAGTCCCTAAGGTGAGTAAGAGCTTAGCATATTTAAGAAACTGTAAAAAAGTCAATGCAGCAAAGTGAGAGAAGAAAGAAAAGGGACATAATAAGAAATTAGGCTAAATGAGAATTGGAGCTACCAGCAAGCCAAGATATTTCAAAGTATGAAGCAAGACTGGTCAACCACATCTTAAGGACACCACATCCTGGATGACCAGCGACCCATGACATGAACAACCAGACATCTGCCTTTCACTATAATTAGTTACAAAGTTACAGTGCAAAAATAGGTAGGGTACTACCACGCCCCAGCTAGGTATTATTATTAAAGCAAAATATTATAAACTACCTCAATGTCCAATAATAGGGATTTGGTTAAATAAATTAGGATATATTCAATTTAAACCAGACATTAAAAAAGAAAAGATACTTACCTATGACTTTATATGTGAAAAAAAAGAAAGCTCAAGATCTAAATTTGTTAAGACTATCTTTATCTTTAGGAGGAGGGCAAGGACTAGTGTAGTTTCTACTTTCTTTCTTGTGAATTTGTTGTGTTTTTTTGAGATAAGGTCTTGCTGATACTCAGGCTGGAGTGCAGGGGCACAATCATAGCTCACTGTAGTCTCAAACTCCTGGGTTCTAAACAATCCTCCCACCTCAAGCAGCTGGAACTACAGGTGTGTACCACCACACCTGGTTACTTTTTTAATATTTTTTTTGTGGAGACAGGTTCTCACTACGTTGACCAAGCTGGTCTCAAACTCCTGGTCTTAAGTGATCCTCCTGTCTTAGTCTCCCAGAGTGCTGGAATTACAGGTGTGAGCCACCACACCTAGTTCTAAATTGTTTTTTTTTTTGTTGTTTTTTGTTTTGTTTTGTTTTGAGTTGGAGTCTCACTCAGTCGCCCAGACTGGAGTGCAGTGGCCGCTCCCGGCCACCGCAGCCTCGACCTGCTGGGCTCCGGCGATCCCTCCGCCTCAGCCTTCCGAGTTGCTGGAATTACAGGCATGCGCTACCACGCCCGGCTGATTTTTAGATTTATTGTAGAGATGAGGGCTCGCTGCCCAGGCGGGTCTTGAACCCGCCGGCTGAGGCAATCCACTCACCTCAGCCTCCCAAAGGCACGGGATTACAGGCTGAGCCACCGAGCCCGGCCTAAATTGTTTGTGTGTGTGTGTGTGTGTGTGTGTGTGTGTGTGAATTACTTGTGTAATCAGAAATAAAAACTATTTTTATTTTGAAAAAGGAAACTTCAAAATGATAAACACATCCCCTTCAAGTGGCCTCAGAAGACACACTCACTGGGCATTGTTTCCACTGCTCTCCTCATCGATGATTCCAGGCACAGCCTTGCCTGCAGCTCGGCTAATTTCCCTTGAAGAAAAAAATTAAAATTCAGTATACCAAAAATTGGGAAATTTCACACTACATTCATTAATACAGCAAGTATGAACAAGATGCAAGGATTTTTCAGACGTCAAGACATAAGTTTTTGAAATTAAATAACACCTGTAATCCCGCACCTTGGGAGGCTGAGGTGAGTGGATTGCCTGAGCCTGCAGGTTCGAGACCCGCCTGGGCAACTTGGTGAGCCCTCATCTCTACAATAAATCAAAAAATTAGCCAGGTGTGGTAGCGCATGCCTATAATTCCAGCTACTTGGAAGGCTGAGGCCGAAGGATCGCCGGAGCCCAGCAGGTCGAGGCTGCGGTGGCCGGGAACGGCCACTGCACTCCAGTCTGGGTGACAGAGTGAGATTCCAACTCAAAAAAAAAAAAAAAGAAATTAAATAACAGTACACTCACACCTTTTGGGACACTTGCAAAGTTAATATTACGATTTTATTATTTATTTACTTGAGTTGAGGTCTCACTCTGTTGCCCAGGCTGGAGTGCAGGCTCACTACAGCCTCGACCTCCTTAACTCAGGCCATCCCTCCAACTCAGCCTCCAGAGTAGCTGCAACTACAGGCATGTGCCACCACACTTGGCTAATTTTTTTGATTTTTTGCAGACAAGAGTTTGCTATGTCACCTAGACTGGTCTCAAACTCTTGGCCTCAAGAGATCCTCCTGCCTCGACCTCCTCAAGTACTGGGATTATAGGCATGAGCCACTGCGCCTAGCCAACATTAAAATTTTAGAATCAGCTCTCCTCTTTCTTGAGTTCTGAGGAAAGAATACATAGTCAAGGCCCATATTCTAGATTCTGTATCCTCAGAACCAGCAGAATGCCTGGTATATAGCAAGTTCAAGTATGAAATAAATAACCTCAAACACAGGAAAGGCTCACAGAGGGCATCTGATGTTGCCCCTTTGTGCATTCCTTTCCCTCTTCCCAAAGTCACTGATTTATGTTTTAGGATCCAGATCAGAGACAGATGACTCCATTCCAGGCTGCAGAGGATGACCTAGCTATGCTATCAGGCAAGTTCAGGACAGCACAATGGTTTAGGCCAGCTCAAACAGAGCGGATCTCAGGACAACTCTTGCTGAGAAGGCATGCTCTCTTGCCCCAGAAGGTGTGGCATGCTGATATGAAGTAGGAACTGTTAAAGCTATTCCACCCACACATACAGGAGAGCAGAAAAAAGAACTACGGAAAAACAGTACTGGAGCCCTGATAACACAAATCTTTCAGTCACTCCATACCAAAAGCCTGCCCATTTCTGGGCTTTTCAAGGACATGAATCAATAGTGTTTTTATTATTTAAAAATTTAACTTTTGAAATTTAATACTCTAATTAATAACAATCAAGTTATTTAATTTGAATAGGGTTTTCTGCCATCTGCAACTGAAAGTATCCTGACCAAAAGATGAATGCGAAGTAAGGTTTCAAGAAATGGAAGAATATAGTTGATGAACAAAAAATAGTAATATAATAAGATATATTAAGAAGGCAGGAAAGGAAGAAGGGGAAGTGAAAAAAAATGTGTGAGAAGAGCCAGGCACAGTGGCTCACGCCTGTAATCCCAGCACTTTGGGAGGTGGAGGTAAGAAGACTGCCTGAGTCCAGGGGTTCAAGATCAGCCTGGACAACTTGGCAAGATCCTCATCTCTACAATAAATAAAAAAATTATTATTATTGTGGTGGCGTGCACCTGTGATTCTAGCTATTTGGAAGGCTGAGGCTAAAGGATTGCCTGAGCCCAGCAGGTCAAGGCTGCAGAGGCCACGAGCGAGCCACCGCAATCCAGCGTGGATGACAGAATGAGACTCCTACTAAAAAAAAAAAAAAGAAAGAAAAAAAAGTGTGAGAAGGGTATAAGGGAAGAGTCATATAGGAGAGATGAGAGCCATCCGTAAAGACATTTCTGCCGAACGTTTACCTGTTTAAGACTCCATTGGAAACTAGAGCTTCTTTAGGATGGAAATATTTGTAATACACATTCCTAACCACAGCATCTTTAAGGGAAAAAGAGAAGATGTATTTCAGGTTAGAAATGAGTTTCATGTTATAGACTCATACAAATTTTGATCTGAAAGGGCACCCTGCAACTCTGTTCCAACCCTCTTATTTTATAAATATAAGCAACCTAGGCCCAGAAGGTTCCTACTGAGATGAGACCAGAATAATAAACCAAGTATGTTCAGGTCAGGACTTTTTCCATTGTACACCAGGCCTAGAGAGTGATTAAAAAACAACAACAACAAAGAGGAAATTACTGCCTCTATTTAAAATAATAATACTAATTACCATTGTTAACCATAATTCCATATTCTTCTAGTAAGAAGTTAATATTGGTATCAAATCTAGATTCTCCACCTTCTCCTAGCATCACAAGGATATTGCCACCGCTGTCGAGGTATTTCTTCAGAACTTCAAACTAAACAAAGGAAAAACAATCTATCAATATAGTCAAAAGGCTTCTGTTCAAAATCATATGAATAAGGTCTTAAACAGCTGGAAAACAAATACTTCAAATCTATGACATTGACATCTAAATGTATATAAGATAAAATATACTGTCCATGTAGGATCTCCAAGCTTGTCTTTGAGCATAAAGCTCCAAAATACTCAAACTGAATTGAGTTTCAAAGCTGGACATGGTGGCTCACACCTGTAATCCCAGCACTTTGGGAGGCAGAGGCAAGAGGATTGCCTATACCCAGGGGTTGGAGACCAGCCTGGGAAACTTGGTGAGACCTCGTCTCTACAATAAATAAAAAAATTAGCCAGGTGTGTAGTTCCAGCTACTCGGAAAGCTGAGGTGGAAGTATCATCTGAGCCCAGCAGTCAGGGCTGTGGTAGCTGTAAGTGTGACACTGCACTCCAGTCTGGATGACAGACTGAGACTCCAACTCAAAAAACAACAAGAAACAAAGCTGACTATCTGGACAGCAAATCAAAAGTGGAAAACTTAGCTAAAGAAAGATCCACAGTTCCCAATTCAGTAGCACCTCTGGTCACCATCTACTAGATGCCAGTTGCATCTACCCTCCTCTGACAACCAAAAATGTCTCCAGACATGGCCAAATGAATCACCCTGGTTGAGAGTCTCCAGTCTAGACAATGCCTTGTCTTCACTGTCTACCACAGATATCAGGATGAAGGCATTTCATACCACCCCAGGGGAGAATTCCATTCAAGGTTACTGAATGACCAAGCCACAGTGAGAAATGCATGTTGTCTGCTTATCTTGTGGGAAGGTATTTCTTGCCTTCACAAGACTGGGGAGGGAAGAAAAATCTAGGGCTGATCTTGCTGGCCCAGCCTGAGAAAATCTGGGATGGGTCCAAACCAACAATTTCCTTATCAGGTATCCCCTCAGAAAAAAATCTGAATAAGCACATAAATACATCCAATATGAATATATCTCTGTATGTACTTATAAAGTATATATGCTCATATTATAATTTAAAAATACTCCCAGCTGGGCTCAGTGGTTCAGCCTGTAATCCCAGCACTTCGGGAAGCCAAGGCGAGAGGATTGCCTGAGTCTGTAAGTTCGAGATCAACTTGGCAACTTAGCGAGACCTCATCTCAACAATAAATCAAAAATTAGCTGGGCATGGTAGCGCATGCCTATAGTTCCAGCTACTTGGAAGGCTGAGGTGGAATGATGGCCAGAGCCCCGCAGGTCGATGCTGGGGTTGCCATGAGTTTGCCATTGCACATCCAACCTGGGCAACGGAGTGAGACTCCAACTCAAAAAAAAAAAAAATACTCCCCAAAAGAAAATGCGTTAAGGCTAAGAAGAATAGAAATCATAAATACAATTTCCTTCTGGCACACCACTGGTTCATCAAATGCATCCTACTTTGAAAACCACTGGCCTCCTGGGAGCGGTGGCTCACACCTACAATCCCAGCACTTTGGGAGGCTGAGGTGAGAGGATTGCCTGAGCCCACGGGTTCAAGACCAGCCTGGGCAACTTGGCAAGCCCTCATCTCTACAATTTAAAAAAAAAATAGCTGGGCATGGTGGTGCATGCCTGCAATTCTAGCCGCTTGGAAGGCTGAGGCAGGAGGATCACCTGAGCCCAGCAGGTTGAGGCTGTGGTGGCCGCAGGCGTGCCACTGCCCTCCAGTCTGGGTGGCAGAGTGAGACTTCAACTCAAAAAAAAAAAAGAAAACCATTGGTCTGACTAGTTTTGCTACAGCAAGGCCGTCTAGTTCTTTTATACTCCCTGAATTTCCCTCTCTCCATGGCTTTATCACGATACAGAAAACAAATGAATCATTTCTTTTTTTTGAGATTACATATATTGCAAACTGGACCTGGCTTGCTATTATCACTCATAGAACACAGCAGATATTTAGGACTATCTAGGAAGAGGAGTTTGACACGAAATAAAAAGGGAAGAAAGGCAAATGGAACCTAGGGAGAGATTCAGTCTGTTGTGCAAGGTCCAGGATGCATGAAGTTATGCCTCATTTGTGTTCCTTTTGTTGTTGTTTTGAGTTGGAGTCTCACTCTGTTGCCCAGGCTGTAGTGCAGTGGCATGCTCACAACCACCACAGTGTTGACCTGCTGGGGCTCTAGCGATCCTTCCACCTCAGCTTTCCAAGTAGCTGGTACTATAGGTGCACGCTAACACACCTGACTTATTTTTAATTTTTTTGAGTTGGAGTCTCACTCCGTTGCCCAGGCTGGAGTGCAGTGTCACGCTCATGGCCACAGCAGCCTCGACCTGCTGGGCTCAGGAGATCCTTTGCCTCAGCCTTCCAAGTAGCTGGAACTACAGGCATGCACTACCATGCTCAGCTTATTTTTTGATTTACTGTAGAGATGAGGTCTCACCAAGTTGCCCAGGCTGGTCTGAAATCCCTGAGCTCAGGCAATCCTCTTTGCCTCGGCCTCCCAAAGTGCAGGGATTACAGGCTTGAGCCACTGCGCCCGGCCTTACAAATTTCTTTATGGCAGAAATAGGAAGATAATTTTGCAGACTTAAATAATAGAGATTTACTTCCTAATAGAAATGCATTCATACTCTTAAGTCTTTTTTTTTTTTAGAAAGCAGGATTTATTGAGAGGACAGAAAAGCTCCCACAGTGGGAGGGGATCTGCAGGGGTTGCTCCAATCTTAAGTCTTATAGTGTGGCAGCAAATGTGGGTTATTTCATATTATTGGCGTGGTTGATCCAGACCTGTGGTTCTCAGTGGAGGTATTTGGCCATCTAGAGTTACGTTGGATTGTCATACCTTTTTTTTTTCTTTTTTGCAGGATTTACTGAGAGGACAGAAAAGCTCCTACAGTGGGAGGGGACTCGAAGGGGTTGCCCAGATTGTCATACTATTGATGTTTAAGGACAGTTTAGCAGGTGAAGGGCAGCGATGCTGAAGGTCCTGTGATACTCAGGCCAGTCCCTAACAGTGAAGAAACATTCCACAACATTTGAATGCCTTCCCAGATAGTTCATGTAGGTTTAAGAGAGAAAAACAAACAAAATCTAGCATAGAATCTAACTCCAATGTATCTGTAAATACTGTGCAAAATATTTTTTGCATGGTTGAACATATAAAGAGTTTCCAGGCACACAAAAACCGTGTAAATTGAGGGAAGAATTATACTTTTTTTTGGGGAACTTTATCAAGAGCTGGTCAGTATTTTGGAAAATCATATCACCAATGGCAATGTGGCTCATGATCTGAATTGCCTAAATAGCATACCAGCATCAGTCTGCATTTGTACCTGGTACATTCCTGGTAGTTCTATATATTTATTTACCCTTTATTTCAAAATGTCAAATATAAAAAAGTGTTAAGCCGGGGTCGGTGGCTCAGCCTGTAATCCCAGCACTTTGGGAGGCGGAGGTGAGTGGATTGCCTGAGCCCGTGGGTTCGAGACCCGCCTGGGCAACTTGGTGAGACCTCATTTCTACAATAAAATAAAAAAAACTAGCCGGGCATGGTAGCGCGCACCTGTAGTTCCAGCTACTTGGAAGGCTGAGGCGGAAGGATCGCCAGAGCCCAGCAGGTCGATACTGCGGTGGCCGGAAGCGGCCACTACACTCCAGTCTGGGTGACAGAGTGAGACTCCAACTCAAAACAAACAAACAAACAAACAAACAGGGTTCTAGTGTATATATCCCCAAGCAGTAACAAACTGAAATACATGCATACTTGTAGTGTATATATGCTTAAATATTTACAATATGAAGTATATATGTCCTTTTATTAATCATCTTCCTTTAATTTATTTATATAACAATTAGGATATTATATTGACTTTTAAAAAATGGTGGTAGGTTATATTGTCTATGCATTTCAATTCAGGATGATAAAGGTGGCATTTGTTTTTTTGTTTTTGTTTTTTTGAGTTGGAGTCTCACTCTGTTGCCCAGGCTGGAGTGCAGTGGCATGCTCACGGCCACAGCAGCCTCAACCTGCTGGGCTCAGGCGATACTTCCACCTCAGCCTTCCATGTAGCTGGAACTACAGGTGCACACTACCAAGCCTGGCTTATTTTTTGATTTATTGTAGAGATGAGTTCTCACCAAGTTACCCAGACTGGTCTCGAACCCCTGAGCTCAGGCAATCCTCTCACCTCGGCCTCCCAAAGTGCTGGGAGCCACCGCGCCCCAGGCTTAAGCCACCGTGCCCGGCTAAAGATGGTATTTGTAATGTAGGTGGACACTGGTCTGACAGGATTGGAAAACACTTGTCTTAGCCACATGGTCACCTGGTAATAACTGAATACTGCCACCAAGCTAGTGTGATCAGTCAATGTAGTTGAAGTAGGATGCACAAGAAGACTCTTCAGCCTAGTTTCTAGCCTGATCCTAGCATCTATGACATCTATATTGTCACAGAAGCTTCTGTAAGACAGCATAAAGAAGACATCACACAGTCCTTGAGGGATGAAATGACCCCTTCACTAGTTCTAGGAGGCCAGCAGCAATGACAAGGAAAGCAATGATCTCATGGGATCAGCCCACTGGAAAAATAAAAACACAAGGGAATGTTGGTTCTTAGAAAAAAGCTAATGGCTTTTTTCCCTTTCCTTCCCACCTCACTCCAACTCTAAAGAGAAAGCATGGAACCAGAGACTGATCTGGAGAGAGGACATTTTATTAGGCTAGAGTTTTACTAAACCTGCCTATTAACAGACTTGTGTCTTTTGGAAGCTATAGTCTTCCATCCTTGGAAGCCTGAATTGAGGCTTGGCCTGGCACCAAACCCCACTAGAGCTCTGACCTTCTCTCTGGATGCTCCTGCTTTCCTCAGGCTGCTTGGTCCTTGAAAAGAACAGGCACTTCTCTCTTTGGCTTTCCTAGATGAAGTGGGGAGATGGAGCCAAAGGCCAACGAGTAATAAAGTATTTATTTGCCTTCTGTATACGTTTCCCTCAGGGTCTCAGTGGGTAGGGGTAGCTAGTCACCTCCACACTGCCACCAGTAATACCTACTCCTCTCAATTAACCTAATTAAGCAGTTATGTCTCTCTCCATGCCCTTTCCAGGCAGGAAGGCCACCTTGCAATCAAACTGAGAAACAAAGGACAATAGAAATGCTCCCCCATAGACCTCCTCCACAGTACCACACAGAGTAACAGCAAGAGACCTTGGCTACCTCAAGCTAAGGAGGATGCTGGCCCTGCTCTGCCTCAACCTCCACACTGGCTGTATTCTCTCTAAACAAAAAGAGATTCACTACATGTCTCTGTGAGAACAGCTCTTGCTGTGCTCTGGAATTTTTTTTTTTTTTTTTGAGTTGGAGTCCCACTCTGTCACTCAGACGTGAGTGCAGTGGCCGCTCCCGGCCACCACAGCCTCGACCTGCTGGACTCTGGCGATCCTTCCGCCTCAGCCTTCCGAGTAGCTGGAACTACAGGCACGCACTACCATGCCCGGCTGATTTTTGATTTATTGTAGAGATGAGGTCTCACCAAGTTGCCCAGGCGGGTCTCGAACCCGCGGGCTCAGGCAATCCACTCACCTTGGCCTCCCAAAGTGCTGGGATTATAGGCTGAGCCACCGAGCCCGGCCAGATTTTTTGTTTATTAGTTGTGGAAAAATACATCTAATCTAACTGGATTATTTACCACCTTAACCATTTTTAAGTGTTTAGTAGTACTAAATACACACATAGTTGTGCAATCAATCTTCAGAACTCTTTTCAGCTGGCAAAACTGAAACGCTACACCTATAAACAACAACTCCCCATTCCATTCCCCCATGCCATCAGGCCCTAGCAACCACCATTCTATTTTCTTTTTTGAGTTGGGGTCTCACTCTGGCACCCAGACTGAAGTACAGTGGCACAATCATGGCTCTCCGCAGCCTGGAATGCCTGAGCTGGAGGGATTCACTCTCTTCAGCTTCCTGAGTAACTGGGACTAAAAGTGCATGCCACCACACCTGGTTAATATTTGAGTTTTTTGTAGAGACAGGGTCTCACTATGTTGCCCAGTTGGTCTCAAATGCCTGGGTTCAAGTGACCCTCCTGCCTTGGCCTCCCAAAGTACTGAGATTAGAGGTGTGAGGCACCATGCCCAGCCGTATTTTCTGACTCCATGAATTTGATTACTCTAGGTATCTCAAACTTGCATAAATGGAATCATAGGGTTTTTGTTTTTTTGTGTCTGCCTTATTTCACATAGCATAATGTCCTTAAGTTTCATCCATGCTGTAGTATGTATCAGAATTTCCTTTTTTTTCTTTTTTTTTGAGTTGGAGTCTCACTTTGTCGCCCAGACTAGAGTGCAGTGGCCGCTCCTGTCCACCACAGCCTCGACTTGCTGGGCTCCGGCAATCCTTCTGCCTCAGCCTTCCAAGTAGCCGGAATTACAGGCATGCGCTACCACGCCCGGCTGATTTTTTTGATTTATTGTAGAGATGAGGTCTCGCTGCCCAGGCGGGTCTCGAACCCGCAGGCTCAGGCAATCTACTCACCTCAGCCTCCCAAAGGCGCAGGATTACAGGCTGAGCCACCGAGCCCGGCTTGGAATTTCCCTTCTTTTAAAGTCTGAATAATATTCCATTGTATGTATACACCACATTTTGTTTATCTATTCATCTGTCAATGGGCACGTATATTATTTCCACCTGTTGGCTACTGTGAATAGTGCTGCTAAGAACATGGATGTGCAAATATCTCTTTTAGACACTGCTTTCAAAACTTTTGAGTATATACCCAGAAGTCAGATTGCTGGATCATATGGTAATCCTATTTTTAACTTTGGAGGAAATGCTATACTGTTTTTCATAGTGACTGCACCATTTTACATTCCCACCAACAGTGGGTTTCAACTTCTTCACATTCTCACCAACACTTGTAATTTGTGTACTGGGTCTTACATTTATCATTGTTTATCCATTCCATAAAACAATAAAAACAGCTATATTTTAAATGGAAATTTTCTATTTTCAAAGCAAAAACATGGCAAAGTAGTACGGCTAATATTCAATTGGCCCACACTATATGTTTGGCAGTTTACATGGAGTATCTCAGTTAATCACCACAGTTCCAACACAAGAGAGAGATGAAGTGACTGCCTTAAGGCAGCACATTAAGTAGTGATGAGGGATTTAAATGCAGGACTTCAGAGCCCATGTTCCTAACCATCTCACCATACTTCTTTAACGGATTATTTCTTACCTCAGCTGCAGTAAATTTTTCTCTTGGCCCAGCTGTAATCCACAGTTTCACCCCAATTAGTTTCTCAGATGTGATTTCATCTTTCAAGCTAGAAATGATTTTAAAAGCAAATGTGAGCTCCATAATTTAAAGCAATTTATAAATTACTATAGAATCTTGACTGTATGGAACCAGAGGCCACAGAGGTCAAGAGATGAAGGGACTTAGAGGTATCTGGTCCAGCCTCTCTCCCAAAGTGAAAATCTCCTCTACAGGCCTGTCCCAGAGTCATCTGGTCTCAGTTCAGATACTTCCAGTAGGTCAAGATGTTTAAATTAAATCACACTAAAGCATAAAGAAGCCCTCAACTACTAATTCAATCAGCTCTACCACTAGCTTGTATGATTACATAGCATCAACCATTAAGAAAAAATTATGTGCATACATACATAAAGACACAGATATTCTCATTTAATTCTCATTTATCCTTTCCCCTAAAGTATTGAATCAAGTTAAAATATTTCTTTTCCTTTTTTTTTTTTTTTTTT